AGACCCCTACGCGCAAGCGAATTATTGAAATAAAATTAAAACCATAATTCAATTGTTGATACCAAGAAATGAAGTGTGTTTAAATTCTCCAGCCTCAATTCATCGTTTAACATCATGTGTACTCCCAGATTTTGTAATGTCTGTAATTCCTGTTATTCTTAGTATATTTCTATACATCTTGCCATGGAATGGTAGAACATTAACCTATATTGTGTATCTATGTATGTATATCAATACGGGTCACCTTGGGCGATAAGGTCAATCTATACCTCTGATCACATGTCCGTATAACATCTCTCCTAGTCCTAAGGAATAGTTCTCAGTCTTATTGAGTGTGTACTTCTCAATATAACAACTCGGTCAGATCTTGCACCTGTTGGCAGTCGAACGGCATGGCACTGACCTCAACTTTGTATTATAGCAATTGATTTTCGTTTTTATTACTTGTCTGGTAGTCGCAATTGACAATTTACTTTCGACAAATATCGTCCAATGGACAGATAATGTTAACTATTTGTTTCACTTTCGGTAGGCTACTTCTATACCAGTGTTTGTGTGTGAAATGGCTTTATTTTACGTTCGCTTCCACCAAGGTGATATCGCAGACAAGTACATGTTATATGCACATAGTGATATTATTTACAAGGTGATTAGGGAAAAAGGATTAAAAACGAGTGTGTGGCCTGGGCCATTCTTCCGTCCATTTCTTCTTCTAGTCCGGTATGGTAGTGGATTTCATCTTTACTTCTGTTTGTTCGTTCCTTTTGTTATTGGTTCTCTGAAGGACGAATCCAGTACCTGAAAAGCACAGAAGCACCATTGTTTATTGGGAGATGCTAATTATAGGCCGGAAAAGGGGGTTTCGGGAATTTCCGGAGTCCACAATGGCCGCTCTATATAAATGAGTATTTGGGAGAATACTAACCCTAACCCTAACCCTTAACTGGGATCTAATTTACCCTGTGTGTATGATTCACTGTACAGGAATGAACAAATTTGTTTCTGGGGATTGTAAGTCTAAGATGCCACCCCCCCCCCCGATTTACAATTCATGTGTCAGTACTTGCTACAAGAAAAGATAAAACAAAATATTAATTTTAGTGTCAAGAGTATGATTAATTGGAGTAGTTTATTATAGGCCTACGCTAAAATATTTCCTTATTAGTTGTAGGCTCAGGTTTATCGCTGGTGTTAGTCACGTGCTTTCTGTAGTAGTAGACAAATGTTTGTTTTTTATCAAACATTCTGATATGGAAATTAGAGCTGATATATATTATAGCCGTCAACATATTTTAGTTTTGATGCAATAACATCCCTCACTCCTCAGTCCTCGGCAGTTCAAATTCAGAGTAAGCGGAAACGCCGAGTTCCTGCAGAAAAGTAGGACGTTAAAATACAATTTCATTGGGTTTAAATTTCTCTAGTATTTTTGCAAGAATTGTGTTGTCAGTTGATGATGCCAGAGAAGTAAGCTTATGAGTTTTGTTTAAATGACATTGCACGAGTCCTATTGATAACCGTATCGACAATAATTATAAACTCGAGTCAGTAATTTCCTTTAATACCCTTGGAGGATGTTCTGTCGAATAACCCCCTACCGAGATATAATTGTATAATCACTGGTGCGAGAGGAAGCTATCGTCTATTTGGTAAACGTTCGTGGAACCGTGGGGCTTCAGTAAGTAATGCGGTCGCTAACCAGGAGATGATATCAAGGGTTCAGTAAACTTCTTCTGGATTTCCTCTTGTCATGACAGAGGACAGAACGACGTCTAATCCTGTGTGCACGTAAAAGAGAGAGAAATGGGGTTTAACGTCCACACGACACAAAGTGGGTCATTTCGGGACTAACATATGATTCAGTTTTATTTCAATAATTCACTTGCACATATGGGTCGTTAGCAATGGAAGGAAACCAGAGAACCCGGAGAAAACCCACGAGGTTGGAAAGACTACCCTACTCCTTGTCACGTACAACCGGTTATTCGAAACCATGCCAGTTGACCGAATGACAGTCATTGGCAGACCTTATGATACAACGCGCACGCGCTAACCACTCAGCTACCCAACCCACCGCACGTATCAGATCAGTTGCCCGGTTTGTCCAGTTTGTCATAATCATATGACGCTACTTGAGATATGGACGGAGGGCCTGACAAGGACAGATGTCTAGTCGTTTGGATGGGACGAAAAACCGAGATCCCGTGTACACATTGGCGTGCACGTAAAAGATCCCTTGACAGGTGGAATTCGATATAAGAGTAGGCCGTAGTGTCGCTGTCCGGACAAAATGTCCCTCATAGCACACTGTATGGCGTATGCCCGTCTTCATTAGCCCAGTTCGGAGCAGAACAGTAAGACGTAAAACCCCATTTCATTTCATTTCATTTCTACTGGTGAGATCTGGCTACAGACAAAGTGATTCTTAATGTGCAATATTTCTACAATAAATCTAGTTAAATCTATGAGTAATGATATAATAATAGCAATACCATATCGATTAGTTTATTGCAAAATATGGCAAGTCAAATAAATAATATTGATTTGTACATATTCTCATTAAGTCGACATTTACATTTTGAATACCTACTATTTTCATGATGCCATCAATCGATGTTTTCGTGGCAAGGAATTCAGTTTTCATAACATTCTTTTGACAGTTTTTATAAAGTAGAAATTTTGCCATGATTCCGTGAGGTGAATATTTGATTTTAATTAGTTTCATATTGATTAAGAATGGCACGAGAATGGCACGAGAACAAATTGGAAAATATCGCCTGATAGTATTTAAATGTCATTACAACCTAGTGGTATTAAACAGCTAATGGTATATGCACCGACATGCTGGGAGAGAGAACAAAACACTTCAAACACCAGCTTTCTTAGATAATTTACCAGTTTATCGCTCAACACCGTCTTTATTAGCCCAGTAGGAGCAGAACAGTAGGACGTTAAACCCTATTTCTTACTTTTCTATCTCTAACAACAGCTTGGTGAGATAATTATGCAGTACTCACAGCTAAATCTAACCAGGGTTTATAGAGAGAAATGGGGTTGGGACTAACGTATGGTTTAGTTTTATTTCAATAATTCGCTTGCGCGTAGGGGTCTTTAGCAGTGGGAGCAAACCGGAGGACCAGGAGAAAACCCACGAGGTTGGACAGGCGACCCTACTCCTTGTCACGTACAACCGGGGAATCGAAACCACGCCAGTTGACTCAATGACAGGCCTTATAATACAGCGCGCACGTGCTAACCATCCGGCCATCCAACCCCTAGAATTGATAGAAAAGGAGCCTCTAATACTTGTACACAGAATTAAAAAGTTTTATTTAAACATATCCTCGCATGTCCAACCTCGTGGGTTTCCTCTGGGTTCCACGGTTTCCTCCAACTGCTAAAAATCCACACGCGCAAGCGAAGAATTGAAATAAAATTAACCGGTGTGTTAGTCTCGATATAACAGTTTGTTCTGTGTGTACATTAAACTCCCCCCCCCCCTCTCTCTCTCTCTCCCTCTCTCCCGAGGTGTGATTGTTCCTTGACTAGTCGTGTAGAAGATGTGCACGTGAAGGAAGCCCGGGTAGTTGGAATTCGATGAACAGTAAATGTCTGAAACTACTAGGCATTCTCTGTCTTTTCCGTGATTACTCAATCGGCTATTTTATCTATACCGGTGATAACTCGGTTATTTTGTATCCTGAATTATAAATTAAGTCTTCTAACCCGTGGTATCTATATCGAAAAGGAATAAATACATTTTAATTTGTGTTGTGCTATAAAATGTCCAATTAGAGAGTAATTTGTATAAGTGTTTCAATTTGTCTGGATGATTCTATTGTTCTGTGACGAGGAATTCTGTCTTTAAACAAAGTACTCTTGTCTGAGATGGGTTTTTTTTTTCATTATTTAGTGATCCCCTGACAATATCCACGGAATAAAAACCGGAATATATTCATTAGAGATTTTCAACCAACTTTGAAAGAATTATAATAATAAAGCTATTTATTTACTGGTCGAGCCAGACTAAGAAAAGGCAAAATATCACCGTCTCTTAAAGCGTCTATAAGTGACATCCGTTTTCGAATCAGATGGTAATTAGTATTAGAGAAAATTAAATGAACCGATATTGGGTTTAACGTCCTATAGGGGTCACGGTGGCTAAGTGGGTAAGACGCTGGCTCGCTAGCCTGGACGTCGGGTGTTCGATCCCTGCATTGGCCGAGAAAGTTCACCCAGAAAATGAAATAAAATGGAGTTTAACGTCCTACTGTTCTGCACCGACTGGGCTAATGATGACGGTCATATGCCATACAGTGTGCTATAAGTAATGTTTTGCCCGGGCAGCGGCGCTACGGCCTACTTTTATATCGAATTCCAACTGCCAAGGGATGTTTTACTTGCACGCCAATGTATACACGGGGCCTCGGTTTTTCGTCCCATCCGAACGATTAGACAGCTGTCCTTGTCAGGCCCCCATTCCTACACAGGACCTCGGTTTTTCGTATCATTCAAAGGACTAGACAGCTGTCCTTGTCAGGCCCTCCGTCCTTTTTCACTGACAAGGGGAAACCACGTCGGAAAATTCCGATGAATTTTCTCGCCCAATGCAGCAGGGATCGAACACCCGACCTCCAGATAGCGAACCAGCGTCTTATCCACTTAGCTCCTTATGAATTGAAGGTTAAAACAGGTGTATCACATATGCTGTTGTGTTGGCGAGACGTTTGGGTTTTGTAGCATCGCAGGGCCACGGTATTTCTTTGACAGTGTTTAAACAATATTTTTGTGAAGTAACAAAAGCTCAAGAATGTGTCCGTGTGTCCCCTCCACGAGACAGATTATGAACTTTGTGTCCGTGTGTCCCCTCCACGAGACAGATTGTCAAAGTTGTGTCCGTGTGTCCCCTCCACGAGACAGATTGTGAACTTTGTGTCCGTGTGTCCCCTCCTCGAGAAAGATTGTGAACATTGTCTTAACTTATGGTTTTCTTGTTTCAGATCATGAAGATCATCTACCCAGATACCAGGGTGTAATAGATGAAGACCACCAAACCAACATGAACGACGGATATTCCTTTAAAGCCGATTATTTCGGCTTTGCGACCATCTCCAAACCACCAACAGCATTAGGCATTCTTCAACCCCCGGTGAAAGACCTGTATGTTAAATGTCTCAAGCAAGGGGGAGACGCCAATATCAAGAAGGTTCATTTACGAATAATACGTGGTGGACTGTTATTCACATTTATTGATGGTCCACGAGGTGCTGAAGTGTTTTTTGATATTAACTCTATGATCTATTTTGAAGGACTTCGTTTTCAAATGGTGCGAACAAATGAAAAGAAACCATACGCAATGTTTTTACCAATCGACGACGTCAAATTGACCCCGAAAGATCAAAAAAGTGCCTTTGTATTGGACAAAAATATACAGTTTTTAGCGCAGGCGCAACATCCACCTTTATTAACATGTGTACTACGTCGACCAAAAGGCATCAAAGCGCTGGATTGTCACCTGTTTGTGTTTGAAAATATTGAAGATGTTCGCCATATTTCTACCCTTCTCGCTGGATTACAAGCAAGTGGTGGTAATCTTCCGGAAATAACCGATTTCCGACAAACGGAAACGAATTTTAATCGTGGACAAAAAAGTGATATAATAAGAACCGAATATGGTGATTACGCCATCTATAGAGGGAATCAAATGGAATTGAAAGATGATTTTTTCCGTCCGCGTGATGATAATCCTGCCTTTGATAGTAAACTACCTGATGATCGAGTCGATGATCGACGCGATGACCGGCGTGATGACCGACGCGATGACCGGTGGGATGACCGACGCGATGACCGGTGGGATGACCGGCGCGATGACCGAAGAGATGAGAGACGTGATGAGCGACCAGGAGATAAGAAGGTTAACGATTGGGATTATGACTCCTCGCCCATTGATAACGCGTGGAGGAGTGTGCACCGGCAGTTTTCAAGCGAAGACCGGGGTAAAAATCCAGAACCCGAATACCGTCGGCAGGAATACGAACGACAAGAGATATCGCATTCTAGAGAAAGGTCAGGGGATAGCAATGAAGGTCGATACTCTGGAGGACGAGGCCTGGGAGATTCTGATCGAGGACGATATGACGAGAGACCCTATCGAGGAAGCCCACATTTGCATCCAAAGGTACCTCCACCTGTAGCCGACAAACCAGCTAGTCCACGCCCAATGTCGCCAAATAGTAGATTTCCTGGTGGCATGTACAGTCAACCTCCCCCACGGGAAGACCCAAGGGGCAATCCTTACAGTCCTCGATTTGCTGGACCACCTCCTAACAACGGGGGTCCAGTATTTTCAGCTTCTAATCTGGAAGGTCGGCGTGGAGAAAGAAACAGCAAGGGAGATGAAGAGAATATGCCCCAAAAACCCGTCGCTAAGGTACCCCCGCATCTGGTTGCTGGGATTAAAGTTCTTCCCACTAATTTTAATATACAGGGTGTTAAGTTGAAACCCAGGTCTCCAGGACACGAGAAGGGGGTGAATCATGACAAAACGTTCTCTTCGGAAGGTTCGGAGGATACCCCCGAGTACGACAACGTTCTTCAAAAGTTTGATAAAATGATTTCCGACGAATCGGATATTAAATATCAACAACAAGTCAGATCCACGCCTCGTGACAGAGACTTGTATGATCAAAATATACGTAAAAACTGGGCCAACGAAGACTTGAGAAGCAGTCGTGAGTCACCAAGACTTGAACGTGTCCCTTACGGCCAGGAGTACGGTCGGCATGATTACGATTACGATGGACCTGATGACAGGAGGTATATTGAACAATATCGCAACAACGACAGACTAGATCCAAGGATCGACCCCAGAGGTGATCCAAGAGGTGATCCCAGAGGAGACCCTAGAGTTGATCCCAGAGGTGATCCCAGGGGCGACCCCAGAGGTGATCCTAGAGGAGATCCAAGAGAAGATCCGAAGTCAAATCCAAACCGATACAGTATGCCTCAAATGTATGAACGCGGTGACAGATCGCAAGAGTCTCCGAATAGGTGGTCAGGAAGCAACAAATCTCAGTCGTCTTACGAAATGGGTGGCAGCGGTGGTCGCCAACCAAACCTACCACACGGAGTGACGCCAGAAAACCCCGAACACAACAACCGAAAGAAAGATGCAGAAATCGCCAATATGTTTGGCGACAACTACCGAGGAGAGCATCAGCAATACATGCCGCCAGTAGGAACGAATTTTGAACAATCATTGGGATATTACCCATAAAATCGTGCAGTGCTCATTTCTGTATCTGGACTCTTTACTGTGACGTGGATCAATCGGACTATTAACACGACGGAGAATGAACTATTAGCCTAATAATGAGGCTAGGAATAAACTATTAGCCTAATAATAAGGCTTGGAATAAACTATCAGCCTAATAATGAAGCTTGGAATGAACTATCAGCCCATAATGAGGTTGGGAATAAACTATTAGCCTAAGGCTTGGAATAAACTATTAGCCTATAATAATGAGACGTATCGGACTCATACTGTGAATAAATGTGTATTATAAGAAATTAATATCTAATGCCTTTTTGTACATGTGTATAATTCCTCAACTATCGTCCACGTGAACGCCTTGTGATTAACTTTACACGGATATTCATCTTTATTTTAAACTTGTTAATGGATATTATTATCACGAAAAGTAAATCACAACAAAAAGAAGTCTGAAAACTTCGACAAAGTAATATTTGTCTTTATTTCGAGGTTTTAGTGAGTGTATCTTGTTGAGACGGCCCAGCTATTTTTTTTAAATTGTGTGTTATCAGGATAATTGAGCCGAAAGAAAGATGCTTAAAAACTATTTGTATTTATATCGTAGTTTTAGTGTGTTTATCTCCGAGAAAAAAAAAACAACATTTATTTTAAACTTTTGTGTTAAGGGAACAGAGGAAGATTGTAAGCTTTGACAATGTAATATTATATAACAAATACGTGAACATTAGTCGTTTTCATGTCGACGTTTTAATTTGGTTATCTCGCAGGGAAAACAGACACGGAGACATCAAGGGGTTTGATTTACTTGTCAATATTGAAGTCATGTTGATTACTCGATATTTTATCTCTGTTTGATTAAGCTGGAAACTAAAGAACAGGGGAATCGAGATAATGATATTTTGGTGAAATTGAATACTAATATTATGTAGAATTATGAGTTATTCAGGTCATGTGGTGAAATTGAAATCTAAGATTATGTAGACTTATGAGTTATTAAGGTCATGTTGTCTATACAGTAATCGCGTCTATTTAACAGACTATTAAACTGTGTCATTTACATTAAGGTAAAATATTTGCCATGAAGATTTCGGGAATCCTACAAGATTAAGGTATATTGACCAAAATTCAGATAATCAGTTTATTTCGCCCTCTTTGAAAATTTGATAATTTCTCTCTCTGAATAATACAATGTATATTCTAGCTAGATAATGAGATGACACTATTTCTAATCCGGTTACACTGTTTCTAATCCGGTTAGACCCTTTGCCGTTTTTGCTAGGACCCAACGGTGATGTTTCACTAGGACCCAATGGTCATGTTTTACTAGGACCCAACGGTGTTGGTTCTCTAGACCCCAGGCCTCAGGCAGTCAAGCCTAAAGATAAATCCGGCACCGCCACCACCCCGCCAGATCTTACGGCCCCAGGCCTCAGCCTGCCAAGCTTAAAGATAAATCCGGCTCTGTCCCCCCTCCCCCAGATCTTACGGCCCTAGGCCTCGGCCTGCCAGGCCTATAGATAAATCGTTCACTGCGGATAAGAAATAGTGTTCTCCATGTCATATAACAATAACTATCTTATTGTCGATTGTTATAATAATTTATATATAATACAGGATTGTATTACGACAGGTATGAGTTTATGTATGTAATATATATTATATTATTGTAGGCTTCCTTACCTCTGCTAATTATATACCTTATTTACACCTGGCATAATAATATAATATATAATTATTTATATATATATCAAATATACCTGAAACAGGTGTTGAACAAATTTAATTTGTCTAACAATCTGATTAAAATACAGATCTATGTTTCGTTTCGTTTTCTTTTATCCTCTCGACGGCCTACACTACATGAAGATCTGACCGGTTGTAGCGGGAGGTCGTGTCAGGGGTCATGCGAGTGGCCTTTGGCCCTATGACGTCATACATTTGATTAACCAATCGGCGTTTATTTTTCTAGTGGATTACCCACAGTTCCACACCGCACGCCAAGAACTCGCCGTAACAGACCGTTTCATTGGCTAAACTCTTGGCTAAAGACAAGTAAAACGAAATTTTAAACTATAAAAAACGAAACGAAATATGATCTGTGTTTTAATCAGATTGCATGTGTTGAAATATTTGGACGGTACTAAAGATTGTTGTATTAGTGAATCGTTACAGTGCGAAATAAAGATGGTTGATATTAATATGTAAGCTAACAGTAATATATCAACCACATGACGTAACAACGAATTATAGTTCGTCGTATTCTTAATTAAGATATCAAATCGTTTTAATTCGAAATACAGAGCGAGTCGCTGTTATAAATATGTAAGAAAACTGTTAAATATGCATTATGTAAAAACTAAATTTACCTATTGCAGGTCTTTGTTTTGGTATCAAATGTTATATAAACTATTATTATTAAGACATTTATTAACACGGCAAGCCTATAATCAACTCTCTAGATCATCAGATGGCTGAGATTTAAATGGATTTAAACTCCCACGAGATTTATATATGTAACGATTGGATGCACAGTCGAGTCATAACCTCGACTAGAAAAAATTAATTTGAATGAAGTTTTCAATATATTAATCTATTGTTGAACTATTATAACAAGAACGGTGAGTTCTTTATCTAAATCTTACATAATGTATCTTTAAAATGTTTACCGCTTGACAAGTCAATGTTACCACCCATAACAGCTTACAGTATTGATATTTGAACCCAGGATTTAATGTTAATATTGTGGTTTAATTATAAACATTTTGTTACTTTGTGTAGTTTTATCGAATGGTTATTTTAAGCCCCCATCAGACCAAAACTCGGTATGGTTCACATCAAAAAGGTGTGGCGATCCAAGGGGACTCATAATTTCTAGCAGGTCGCGTATAATCGCGGTACAATTTTGATAAAATGAGTTAAAACAGTCTCCGGAACCCACAGACTCAGTAACTGCACGATGTCGATACAATCGAACAAGACCCGAACACTCCCTCAGCAAGACCTTCACCAGCTTTACAACGCGACTCGCAATGCCGTGCTTTGGTGTGATGGGGGCTTAAACATTTAGGTTCGTTTTGATTGATTTGGTTTTTGGCAATTCATAAGACAACGCCTGAAAGTCACAGTGATCAAAAATTATTAAAGTTTATTAAAGATCTGATTATACAATCTCTATTTATGTAGTTTTTATAATATTCAAATTACTTTTAATCTCTGTATGCAATATTTTATACAACTTTTTATCTCTATAAACATGCGTGATTCGACATGTTGGGGGTGGGAGGTGGATGGCTGAATGGTTAGCGTGCGCGCGCTGTATCATAAAGTCTGTCATTGAGTCGACTGGCGTGGTTTCGAGTCCCCGGTTGTACGTGGCAAGAAGTAGGGGCGCCTGTCCAACCTCGTGGATTTTCTCCGGGTCCTCCGGTTTCCTCCCACTGCTAAAGACCCCTACGCGCAAGCGAATTTTGGAAATAAAATTAAACCATATGTTAGTCCCGAAATGACCTAGTTTGTGTCGAGTGGACGTTAAACCCCATTTCTCTCTCTCTCTCTCGACATGTTGGACGGAGTACATCAATAAAATAGTCTATTGAATAAAGACATGTACATCTGAGAAACGCCCATCTAATCTCGCCATTTTGTTTTTACTTAATTAATTACAACCTAAGGTAAAACAAAACAAAAATTGTTAGGTATTCTTACCGTGCCATTACCTAGTCGGAAATCTAGAGCAAATATCGATCACACTCCATGGGTTAACAGTTTCTTTTTCCCGCTTACTATAAAAACAAGTTCAGAATAGTTACATGTAGTTATTCACCACGGGCTCTACTATGTTCATTCGGCTGAGTACATAATGACAGTACTTTCTAGTCGTTGGGATGGGACGACAAACCCGTTCCTACGTTCGTAGCTCTTCTTTAGCCCATTAGGGCGTTGATGCCATTAGCCCAGTTGGAGCAGAACAGTAGAACGTTGATGCCATGGAACTTACAAACAAAACGATATTCAGATCTGTTTTGAATTATTTTGATTGTCAACCGCGGTGTATTGTAATCAGATATCTTTCCATTAAAGAATCTTATAATACCGTAATCTCTTATAAAACTGTTTAGTCGTGAATACCATATACAGCTTATATCTTATAATACCGTAATCTCTTATAAAACAGAATCGTATCCTGTATTCAATACTACTTGTGAATACCATATAAAACTGTTCACACGTTTGTTTCAATGTTAAGTCGTGAATACCATATAAAACACACTGTGTAGATGTGTATACCATATAAAGCCCATTGTTCAGGTCGTGAATACCATATAAAACTCACTGTTCAGTTCGTGAATACCATGTAAAGCTCACTGTTCAGTTCGTGAATACGTGTTGCGAATACATGTCTTCAACGAAGTAGAACCCACGATGTTGACCGCTATCCTGTCAAACACACTGAATAGGAAACTTGAATGACATTTAGAGATTGAGCACATTACAACAGTATGGAAAACAATCACTGAATATTCTTGGTAACGTCAAGAGAATACTTGTTGAAACGTTGTGCTATATGTGTACAAACCCCATATAAACTGTGTTTTTTAAACCGAATAGCAATGGCCAGAGAGTGGATATTAAAATTATTTATTCGGTTCAGCAGCTAAAACCGATATTTTGTACATCACGTACGTCATTTCCGTTGTTTATTGAGTATGGTATTTATGAGTATTGACGATTACAACATGATTCACTGTGTGTATTTAAACAATGGTTCATACTTTTATCTTACAAAGCTTCTATAAACTTATCATATCTTTAAAAATATAGACATTAAACTTTTACTTTAATATTTTTGTTATAAAAAAAAATAATGAAATATTGTGTTATGGAACGCCGATATCGATATACAAAAAAACGACATTTTGTTTTACCAAAATGCGCTGTGTCTTCGATAATTTGGTGAAATGTTTATTTTCGGTATTTCATGAACGTTTATTGCGAAGAGAATTTTGCGATATGCTTGTTTATAATGGCAATAACGATCTATTTATAGAACAGCAAGTTATTCTATTGATATCGTATTTTATGATAACTTACATCATTTAAAATATCGAAAACAAAAACCTTTGATTGTGTATATGTGTAATTGGTAACGGCTAAATCTATTTGTTAAGGCCAGCTCAATTTTTGTCAAGGTCGCTGAGATGTAAATAAGGCTAGAGCTCGTGATTGTTGACGAGATTGTAGAATAGGGTTAGGGTAAGCCTTAGGACTAGGTCCAAGGTTAGGGTTAGGGTTGGGATTAGCGCAAGCCCTGTTTACATCTCGTGACCTGTGACTTAATAGTGAGCTGGCCTTATCATTTAGCACTAACCAATGTTAACCTAAAAGTTATAACCATTTCACTGATAATTTTTCAGTATAAATAATGTTTGTGCGGCCATGCTTGAGAATGCTGATGCGTATCTTTGTTTGAACCTTTTGAATGTTTGTAGAAATCAAAGGCGCTTGTTATATATTATATATATTTAATATACACGTACGTAACCTTTTCAGACGAGATCATCCGAGAATAGTTCGTGGTCGTCAAATCATAGAGGGTGTAAAACAAGCGCCTACTTTAGATAATGTACTAGTTTAAATTGTTGTTAATTAGACATGAATAGCCTATATATATATAAAGGCCTGTATGTAAGGCCTATATGTAAGGTCTGTATTTAAGGCCTATATCTAAGGCCCAGCAATGATCGTGTGGATGTATAACAGAATGCCGGTTTTATAGGCTCATTAAGTATTCTGCTAAAATAGACATATTTTGTTATAATTTTAATATTATTTTCTTCATCGTTAGCATTATACATAAATAACAGATTTTTTTATTGATGAAATAAAATTTACCCGGAATGTGAACAAATATGGGTCTTTACTTTCTGTTAACAGTCGTGCTATAAGACCAGAAGCGGGACATGACGTCATCGCCACCATCTTGGAATCGTGACATCATTATTATCCTAGGAACAAGTATACCATATTTCATGGCGATTGTGTATGAAGGTGTTGTTGTTATTAGAAGAGTGTCGCCACTAAGAATAACAAGAAAAGTAGCAGTTGGCGCCAAGTTCCTGGGTCATAAATATGGTAAAACACATATCAGATACTGTCAACTTTAAATACTGAATTTGGCAGTCTGCCTCCTGACTCGCATTGGAATGAATACGAAATCACAAACAATATTGTTACCTTTACACCCCTCCTCCCTTATCCCCAGGAGTCGGCCGAATGGTCTCATGCGTGCGCTCTAGTTTATAAAGTATGCCATTGTGTGGCATGGTTTCGACACCAACCTTGTACATAACAGGAATAGAGTCGCCTGTCCGGTCCTCGTCGGCTTTCGTCGGGGTCCTCCCAATGCTAAAGACCCCTACGTACAAGCGAATTAGTGAACCAACTCGTATCATATGTGTGACGAATGCACGTTACCACCCCCTCCCCTCTCTCTCTCTCGCAGGGCCCGATGTCGATTAGGGTGTCAACAAGTTCCTTGCCATTTATGCAGTCCCCCCCCTCCCACACACATTTTCCCATTTCATTTGATTTCCAAACATCGCCAGCTAAATGATCAGTAGTGCAGGTGAATTCAACCCGACATGTCTAACACAATATGTCTATTACTTGACCCTCCAAGTGATAATGGAGCCGCTGTGACTCAGTGAGTTTGTGTCTAGCTCACTAACCGGGATGTTAAAAATACCTTGAACAATATCTGCCATTTGAAATTCTAAACACGAGTACGTCGGAGAGTTGCACAATTTCATTAGCCTGGATGGAACGAAACCAGGGACGGTACGGTCCTCGGAACAGTGCAGGTAAAGGGAGGTAAGTCACTTTTATGACGTATTTGGATTTAGACCACAATTAAATTTTTGGAGGCATACAAGTTTCATTATAGTGCCTTACAATTACTTTCAATGCAAAGCCAATTTGTAGTTTGTCTGCTTGTATACGGTCCAAGGTTTCTAGAAATAAATGCCTTTCACTTCAGACTTTATCATAAATAGCAAATAGGTGTCATTTTGCGAGACACGGGCCGTAAAATGGATCATTGTTACAAAAAGGTAAAAAAAAAAGGTCAATTCATGAAAATATTTTTAATATTTGTAATGGAACTTGTTTTCAACTCTTTAAATATTTTTGCAGATCTCTAATTTTGACAAAATTATGAAAGAATCTTAAAGTTTAGAACAAAAGGTCGATGGACCTGAGGTGCAACCATGTTTACAAAACAACATATAACATAAAAAGGGTCAACATTTTTGCCATTAATTTGATTCTATCTTATAAAAATGTTGCTAGAATCAATGTGAAGCTTTGATGTATTTAAGTTTGTTGATAAATGAACTTTTAAAACAACAACAAAATGTCACCATCTCGATTGGTAGTTCCTCTAAGCCCCTAAAGTTCTGTTGTTGTTTTTTATTTTTTGCAGGTTCATTTGTGTTGATTCCGTGGTATAGAATCGAAGAAGATTCTTCTGCGATGTAAATATCCAAGGTTGGGAGGCGGAAGAATAACAGAGTTAACAGGTACGTTACGGTGATATGTACGGCAGATATTAGCATGTTTTTAATATGCTACTTCAAGTTTGTGTATCCTAAAATTTCAGTTCTCCACCTCATACAAATTTTGAAGCAAAGCCATGTCCATCCAACAAAAAATATGGAAATGGTTGGGGCCGGAAAAAAACCAAAACAGAATTGGCATTTGAAGGTGATTGGTAAATAAATCTTGGTCTTCCTCCTTTTATTTATGTTCCCAAAGGTCAAACTGGCGACTAAAACTAGTAATCCCCCCCTCCCCCACCACATCTCCCAATGGTGTCACTATTGCTCAGTGAGTAAGACGTGGGTACGCTAAACAGTGTGTTCCGTGTTCGATCCCAGCGAATGTACATCGGGATCTTCCGGCGTTGTTACCCCTTGTCAGAGGTGCAGAAAAAATAGTCGTTTGGATTTCCCTAATTCACGTGGGTTGACTTCCCACCTGAACCTTGCAGAAACTGTAGATGAAAGATCAAAAAGCCATCTAACATGATTCTTCCTATTTTCCAACATTTAAAATCTTCATCTACATGTATATTTTTATTTCTAGAATTGGATTTCTAATTTCTGGTAGGTTCTGATAAATATAGGCGCCCATTTATGGAATGAGGGATTAACTATGAATGAATAATATTTCTACTAAAAATAGGGCCGGGTAGGCGATATAGTTATCAGTAGACCTACGACCATTTGCTGTGGAGGTACATAAATGGAGTTGTCTCCCCTTAAAAAAAAAAGATTCACTTGTAATCTTATCTTTTATAGTTTAGTTAGAATCTCACTGGGCTGCGACAGAAGAATACTGGATAACATTAAAAACACCGATGGGGCGTGCACAAGACAAAAAGTATTAAGATATCGGTGAATAACAGCCTGTCTCCCCGAGTGACACAAGGAATGCTTCAATGACGAAAGGCTGTGGTGAGAGTGAGAAGTTCAAGAGAATAAACACAAACTAGGTCATTTCGGGACTAACACATGGTTCAATTTTATTTCAATAATAAGGGGTCTTTAGCAGTGGGAGGAAACCGGAGGCCCCGGAGAAAACCCACGAGGTTGGACAGGCGACCCTACTCCTTGTGACGTCCAACCAGGGAATCGAAACAATGCCAGTTGACTCAATGTCAGGCCTTATGATACAGCGCGCACGTGCTAACCATTCGGCCATCTAACCCTACGCGCAAGCGAATTATGGAAATAAAATTGAACCATATGTTAGTCCGGAAATGACCTAGTTTGTGTCGAGTGGACGTTAAACCCCATTTCTCTCTCTCTCTCTCGCGCTCTCTCTCGCGGCAAGGGGTAGTTTACTTCGGATAAACCCAAATCAGATTAGGTATGTGCTAAATGATAAGGCCTGCTCAATTTTTCGTCATAGGTCACGAGATGAACACTGGCTAGCGCTAATCCCTACCTAACCCTAACCCTGGACCTAGCCCCAATGCTTTTACTTATCCTAATCTATAATCACGCATCACGTGACCTAACCTTATTTACATCTCAGCGACCTTGACACAAATTGAGCTGGTCTTAACAAATAGATTTAACGATATATCGTCACGTGTTTTAATAAACGTGATTTTGTGGTTAAATGGGAATGTGTCTTTCTTTAACCAGGTCATATTACCGACACTGCTTTATCACCCCTGACCAAACTGTTATCTAATATCTACCATCGTAGTTAAGCATCAAAGCAACCCATTCAACCGTTATGCGAGGTTCACACTATCGTGTGATACGTTACGATTCGATTCTCCCTATTCGGTCCACGATCTGGTACGTGTAGATACGTTCAGATACGTTTCGATACGATCAACACGATTGCTACGACTGACAACAATATATGATAAGACCTGATAGGATCACCACGATTACTCCACGATTAAATCCAAGATTTAAATCGTAGCACGTGCTCGAAATAAACTAGGAGAGAGAGAGAGAGAGAGAGAGGGAGGGTTTAACATCCACTCGACTTAAACTAGGTTATTTTGAGACTAATATATGGTTCAGTTTCGGGAAAAAACCTTTTATTATTCAATGTATTAGAACCATTATTTTTTTGTGACTTTCCGAATTTCGCTGTTGGGTGGTGGAGCGAAACCATAAGGTCTGTCATTGAGTCAAGTGGCGTGGTTTCGATTTTAGCCCCGAAATGACCTGTCGAGTGGACGTTAAACCCCCCCCCCTCCCTCTCTCTCTCTCTCTCGTACACAACGGCGAATCTGCAGCCCATTTGTTTGTTCCACTGACCACGAATTATCCAAGGATTAAATATGCCAAACGGAGCGAAGCAAATACATTTTTGAACTATGAGAAGGTATATGGTAATCGTAATCGTTTGATTTCAAACGAATCTATTTTGAGGTCTCAAATTTTGAAATGTTTGTATATTCACTTAAAATGTAACCAATTAGCTAAAAGTCATCGATTGATTAAATTCACAAACTACATGTAATACCGATTGATTAAAACTGTTTTATATCTAATACAGATCGATCAAAGTTGCTTTTTAGTTTGCGGGGGGACACGGTGGTTAAATGGGTAAGACGCTGGCTCGCTAGCCTGGAGGTCGCGTGTTCGATCCCTGCATTAGCCGAGAAAGTTCATCGAGATTTTCCGGCGTGGTTTCCCCCAGTTGTCTAGTCGTTCGGATGGGACGAAAAACCGTAGTCCCGTATATACATTTGCATGCACGTAAAAGATCCCTTGGCAGTTGGAATTCGATATAAAAGTAAGCCATAATTTCCTTCATAGCACACTTTGTAGCGAATGCCCGTCTTCATTAGCCCACTAGGAGCAGAACAGTTGGACGTTAACCCCCATTTCATTTCAGTTTTCAATTTTGAAATCATTTGAAAGGAGTAGTAATAAGGAAGATGCAGACATTTCGACTCCCTAAACACACAGAATATAACTATGTATAAGAAATACATTATATTCCTATAAGAAATGGCAGAATTTATGCTAATTAGACCCTTTCTGTATATATTCGATTTGTGGAGACTTTTGTCCGAATACGCAGACTATCAATAGAAACTGTTGCGGTGCAATTTGTTTTGGGTGCCTTTATATATACCAGTCTGAACCATATAAAATTATGAATCCATTTGAAATTTGTAAAGCTACGAGTATCTCTCCCAGATCCCCCTCAGTAATGTTTCCTTTTATTAAGCTGCGAGTATCTTTCCCAGATTCCTCCCAGTTTCCTTGTATTACTCTCTCTATTCGATCGTCTACAAACTCTTTCAGTTAATATGAGAGAGAGAGAGAGAGAGAGAGAGAGAAGAGAGAGAGAGAGAGAGAGAGAGAGAGAGAG